GCCAAGTCTCTGTTCAAGGGTGCCGGTGCCAACATCCTCCGTGCCGTGGCCGGTGCTGGTGTGCTCGCCGGGTACGATAAGTTGCAGGTGATCGTCTTCGGGAAGAAATATGGATCTGGTGGTGCTTAAGCAAGCCTGATTTCTTCAGGTTTTTTAGATGTTGATGAAAATCTCTCGCAAAAGAGTTTCCTGGACTTGGCCCGGCGGTTTTATTTTTTTTCCTTCAATAATTTAGTTTTGGAGGGAGTGATTCCCAAAACCTTACCCATTATATGAACATTGGATGAATTTTTGTAGACGCTGTCTTGATTAGTGTGGCAAAGACTGCCACTTAATTGTTTCTTTTGAAAGTTCTGATCAAATGATTAAAGCCATATTTTATTACAGTGATTCCCAAATCAACACTCTATGAGTTTATTAATTATATCATTATATGATTTGATTTTCCCGTCGCAGGTATTAGTAACATCATATCTCTTTTGCCATAATTCTGTGCAACTGTTTTTATGTGGTAATTTCTCCAGTGACACTGGATATCTGAATGCTGTCTGCTTAAGTATTCCCCGTCTTCTGGGGACGGTTGGAATGCTTATTATAAGTTTACTTCGACTTTTAAGATTGTGCCTAATAGGTTTGAGAAATAGTTTTGTTTTGTGACTTCTATGCTCTGTCAAACTTTAATGCTGTTGTGTACAATCTCGGTCAATCTCGGTCTACCTAGTATATTAATGGGGTACAACTTTGCACTATAGTTAGTTCAGCACTAATCAAAAATCCCCAAAGAATTCCAAGAATTCTTATTATAAGCTCGTTCCAACCCTCAATTCTCTTTTCTCGATGAACAGTTGCTCCTGAAGTGGCCAAATAAGGCCGATTTTAGGTGTGGTCTATTTGTCCATTCATCTTTCAAATTTCTTTTTAATATGAAAGTATTTATTAGATATAAAATTGAAAGTAAATGAGCTATAAGATACTCTTTAAACTTAAATAACATACTAGACACCAACTGAAAGTTTATGAGTTTATTTGACATAATTTTAAAAGTTCAAGAACTAAAATTGCAACCTAACATTTTTTTCGTTCAACAATATGATCTGATTGGCCTAAATCCACGTCATATAATTCATTAGCCTAATTTATAAATAGCTTAATACCATCCTTAACAATAAATGTATATAACTCTTTTACGAGATTGTAGGTTCAAATCCTCACACCATACTTTGTAGGGTGATAATGGAAAAGAAGGTGAAAACCTTTGAAGATGTAATCGAAATGTTTGGATGGAATTGCAACATGTTATAATGTAACTTTCAAAAGTATAATCACAAATTAAATAATGAAAAGTAAATTTAAGTAATTGCATATTTTTTTTTTTATAAAAAGCTAAAACATTATATCCTTGATCAAGAGATTTGAAGGTTGAATCTTCGCTCCATCTAGTGGTGTGAACTAAAACATATTTTAAAAATAAAATAAAATATAGAAATTAAAAGATTTACTTTCATTATTTATTTATTTTTGTCAAGATTGAGATTGTCTGCATGATTTAGGCTTAAGCTGAGTTGGAATAAGACGAAAGTTACATCATTAAAAAGGCGGAATAAAAAACTTGTGCCTCAACAACTTTTAGTTGACCTTTTGGATTTCAATATATAATATATATTTTTTTGATACCTTGAAAATTAGTTCAAGAAATAAAGGAAATTAAATATATCTGTTTTTTTTTTAAACATTATTAGTCGTTTTAAGAAGCTTTTTAAAGAAATTTTTATAAACGTTAAAAAAACATGATAAAAAAATTACCTTATCTACCATAATAATGAATGCACAAGAATAATATACCATAAATGTTTTTTTTTATTTTAATTTTTTTTAAGAAACTGTACCATAAATGTTCTTCAATATTGTAATGAGATTTATAATTTGTGGTTGTCACCCTATTATAGGTAAATAAGTGATTGATAATAAAATAAATGAGTAATTTTGAGTGGTTATGAAATATGATTCAATATTATTTGATAACATTTGATAACATTTAAAGTTATGGAGAACATAAAATTTGACACATATATATATAAAATATATAGATTAAACTCACATAAATGCTCCATATAGTAAAAGTATGAATTTTCTATTCATCCAAATCATATTATTTATCAAGAAAACTTCGAAGTTTTAATATCATTGACTTGAATTAGTGGCAAATCTATATATCTTTTTTTTAAAATAAAAAATCTATATATCCTTAACATCCAAGAACATCAAAAAAAAATTGCTGTAACCCAACTTAGAGTTATATCTTCCAGAAAATTTTCAAATGAGTTGCCAGAGCATCAAAATTACGAATTGGAACTTGTTCCATTTTCGTATGTTTACTTTCCATAAACAATAGGGTTAGTTTATGGTTAATTTTACTTAAAAATAAATTTAGTTCACAATTCGTATTTTCTTTAGTTGTTATTATTTTTTCAAAGTTAAATAAAAATTAAATTCAAACTTAAGGACCTTCGGGTATTGGCGCAGCAACAGACTATATCTAGAAGTAAAAAAAAGAAAAAAAAATTCAAGCTTAGTGATTAGGTATAAGATTTATGGAAAGTTAATCAAAAATTAATTTAATTTATTATTTTTTTTTGGTAAATACCGTCTCAAAGATGTTGGGCCCTTTGGACGCATATCAACATGGATGTAACATGCTTCGTTCGTGGTTCAAGCCCTCAATTCTTTGACTTTGCTTTTTCAAAATTTTTGTCAATAGGATACTCTTCGTTGCATGCTAAGCTCCTTGCCATCAAATAGGCTCCTCGTCTTGCAAATAGGGTGGGGCTTCGAAATCTGGTGATTTCGTTGGATTGTCTGGAGGCTATTTAGTGTACTCAATGTTGAGTCTAATACTCGATGTAAGGCTGCAATTCTTGTTGTCGATATCCTTGATATAGGGGAAAATCTGAAGGGGATGATTTTCGTCCACATTAATCGTTCTCAAAATAAGCTGGCACATCTGTTGGCTAAGAAAGCTATTTCCTCTGAGATCTCATTCCTATGAGATAATTATTTTCCGGCGTGGCTTTTAAGTGAATCGAGCGGCTAAAGTGGTGTTTATTTTTAATAAATTTCCTTCTTGTCTAAAGAGGGGGAAAAACAAAAAAAGAAAAGAAAAGATGTTGGGCCAATGGCTTGATCTAGAGGGCCAAGCCAGCCCAATATCGGCCCATTTTGACACCCCAACTCGCGACGATTGCAATTATAAAACCCTAAACTATTGCAGAACGCAAAAGCCCCTCTAAGTCTCCGCCTAAAATATTCGCTCCTCTTCCTTCCAACGCGACATTGTAGGCGCTGCGGACTCCTCCAACAATCCCTCGCGGCCATCAGTTTTCTCCAAGGGTATAATTCTTTCTCTCTTTTAGATCCGCCATTTCTCTTTCAACCTCTCGCAATTTCACTCTCAGATCAGATCGCTTCTTTCCACTTTTCGCACAGCTCCACTCCCACTTTGATCCTCGGTAAAAGCGTTTCTTATTCCTCTTTCTGCTGCATTTTTTGGTGATCTGATCGCTAACTTGCTTGGCTTACCATTCATCTGCTGTTTAGATCAGGATATGCATGTTGTGCGTGTGGTGAATGGTTGTTATTTAGTTTAACAGACTGCTGAAATTCTGCTGTTGAAGTTAGTGAGCGAAATCTTTGATGTTGTGGTTTTACATATTTTCGATTTGAATTTTTTTATCTTGTCGTGAAATTGTTGATTGTAGTTTCTTGAGGATGACTGGGTCTCCTCTTGTTAGTTGTTGTCTTCATTTTTTATTCTCTGTATCGGCGGTTTGGTGTGCTTATGGGGATAAATGAGTGCCCTCTATGTCTTTTGTAACTTGAGTTGGATCTGAATATGTTGTTTGTGCACTTCTCTCTCTGTCTTATTAAGATTGTTTTGCTTGCAAATTGACATTCTCTCCATTACGTTAGAGGATTGGGTGCCATAGTAGTGATATCATAATTCAATATCAGAACTAGTTTGTTATTGGACGCAGTTGCATAATCGTCTACTTTTTGTAACATTTAAAGATGCTTGAAAGTTTATAATGTTGTTGCGTAATTATGTTAAGATCTTACTTTCCTTTAAGATCTCATGTCCAACCATACTCTAGGCCCATCACTGTCAGACATTGTTAATGTGTGCCCTCAAAATCTAAAATGAAAAGTTCTCATCTGATCAAGATGTGGAAATTATTGCAGGGAAGAAGTAGCTATGGCTGATCAGGTTCAACATCCTACCGTCTATCAGAAGGTTGCTGGTCAGCTCTCCCTTCAGTCGAGGGTTTCTCAAGGTTTCCGTGCCTGTGATGATGGCTTTAGTAACCCTGCTCTTTATCAGAGACGTGCATCAATCAGAAACTATACAAATGCTGGATTTCAATATCCTGCTGTGCAATCCTGTGTTGCTACAACTGATCTTTCAAGAGTTGCCTCAACTGCCTCCCCCATTTTTGTTGCTGCACCTGCTGAGAAAGGAAATTTTATGATTGACTTTCTTATGGGTGGGGTCTCAGCGGCTGTATCCAAGACTGCTGCAGCTCCAATTGAGCGTGTCAAACTCTTAATCCAAAATCAGGATGAGATGATTAAAGCTGGACGGCTGTCTGAGCCATACAAGGGTATTGGTGACTGTTTCAAACGTACAATACAAGAGGAGGGTTTTGGTTCATTGTGGAGGGGAAA